ATCCAAACTATTCTATGATTCTATGAACTGTGAAGGAAGCAGACTAACTGAATTAATAAAGCAATAGTTAGGAAGTCCTGCTTATGCCTCAAAGCATTTGAGCCAATTAAATGAAGACAACTATATGACAATCCAGGCTTTTAGAAAAAATATGAACTGGCTACAATTCTAAACAATCTGATACATGGTCTGCATATACTAAACATGCTTAAAGACATCTGTTCCACATGAACTTTGAATTTAATTTAAAATAGAGAGAATGAAAGAAAAATCAGTGTTTTAAACATAACGCAGCAGAGCAACTTTGAACAGCTCTTCCAATTGCAACTTTCAGGTTTGTATTCATCCTCAGTAAAACCAAATGTACCAGCATTTCTATTGGGAGTATGAGAGACTGAGCAAGCGGCAAAACCTGCAAACAGCTTTATTCCTTTGCCGTTCTTTGGGCACGCCTAATGACTTCATTACTGCATTTGTCATATAATCAATACATGGTGTTTCATAAAGTAAAAAGAATATTTACCTGTTTCATTTTTGCAGCAGCTCTGTTTGAAAACAAAACAGCCCTATCTTTTTGGAAGCAGGCTGGACAAATCTGCAGAGCCTTCGTGTAAGAGTCTTCCGCCTCTCCATAGTCTGCAGATGCAATAGGAAAAAAACCAAAACAGATCATTTATTTCAAATGCCAGTACAGTCAGTGAACCACATGGCTAAGATTTCTTTGGAAACATTTCTCAATATACGATGCAGTATTAAACCAGAATCAGTAGCTGTTCTCAGACAAAGTGCATTACTAAGTAGTACATAGATCAATTACATTTATTTTAAAATCAACACCTTTGTAAAAGCAGAAATATAGTCCTGAGCTTAATGTAACAAGTGCAGCATGATGTGCATATAATTCTCGTCCCTGAAATTCTTTCACTCTCTTTGAGTACCAGCCTTAGAGGTAGAATCTGTTTAGATTAAGTGTATCCTTGATCTGAAAGGAAGCATGTGCTGAAACACGTCACTGCACTGATACCTGTTCAAAGCAGCTACGCAGATATTTTATTTGCCACATCATCTTCAGTGAGTGACCTAAAGGTCAGTCACCACAAACCCATTATCACCCGAACGTCATCCGTCAAGTCTGGTCTAAAGCAAAGACCAGTGGTAAACCACATGGGATTATCAAGTCACTCATTTTCTAATAAAGGTAGAGTCAAGAGTGAAAAGGCCCTATACTGACTCTGAACAACGCCCTGCCAGCTGACAAGTGCATTGTCCTCAAAACAGAGCAATTCTTTCTGTGCGCATTAGCTGGTGACCACCCAGGTGCTTAAAAGGTTGTGTATTTCTGATTAGTAAGCATTTTGGCAGGCACAGGCACACTGAAAAGATCTGCCAAAGAATCTGTCAAGAAGAGGCTATGGATGAGACTTCACAAGACAATTCAGCCAACATTACTGGCTTGCTGCTTTCATGGTTCAAGCAGTTCCCCTCTGCCTGCTCAGATGCTTGCCTGAATTGGTAAATCATTCTCCAGGTATCTTGCTTTCTTAGCACACAGTAAGAGACCTCCAACAGGAAGGTCTGGTTATCTGGGTATACTTCTAGGAAGGGGAAGTTACTTGTTTGTGTCTGAGGAACGTATGAATCTACATTTCCTGGTTTCTTTGCAAATCCTCTAGCCACCAGAACATTAAATGAAAGGTAGGTGTCAAAATCACTTCCCCTTTATGTTTTTTAATTAAAAGCATTGGTACAGTTATTTATTACTGACCTCAATCCTGTTGTTATGTATTAATTATGTTCAGAACGTGTCCAGTTCTGGCATAAGCTAGAAATTTACATACCTCTAGATTTTTTTTTTAAATATACATATGTGTGTGTACATGTACATCTCTCTATATACACACAAACATATGTGTGTACATCTCTGTATACACATATATACGTATGTATATATGTATATAGATGTACATCTAAGTATATATAGATGTACATATATGTGTGTGTATATGTATGTATAGATGTCTGTATATGTATGTACACACACATACATAAATAAAATGTATAACAGAGAGTCAGTGGATAAAAAGAAAAATGCAAATGTACAAAGGTACGCAAGAGCTACTGGGCCACTGAGTCCTGCATCAATTCGAAGCACACTCACTAGCAAAACTCAGACCCTAGTGGAAGGCTTTTTTGATTAGTAAAAGAAACCCTGGCATTTGGAAGGCAGTCAATTCTGTATCATGTTCTTGGATTTAAACGCTTAGCTTTCATGAGAATCCTGCTTTAGTAATCCAAGTCTTAGTGATTTAAACTTAACTCTTAAGGAGGTCTGCTATCTCCTTCTGTTCTCTAGAGCTGGATAAAAAACGATATAGATGATAAATTTATATATAGATGAACAATGATAGGTATGAGATTCTTCCTATGGGTTTTCTGCAACATCATCATGATGGCTAAGTATTGATTTAAGATTGTCTAACATCCATATGGTGTTAAAAGATTATCAACCCACCTCCTTTCTTGAAGTGCTCATTTCCTTTCTCCTTCAGCATTGTGCTCTCCTTTCTTCTTTTCTACAAAAGAAAAGACAATGTCTCAAAGTATTTAATTGAAATGAACAAGTAGGTCAGCTGCAGTTCCAAATAAAGTATGAACGGAAATCAGAATAAAATATAACCTGAAGAATTTTAACTAGTACCAAGATCGCTTGCTTGTATTCACTGTGACATAATGTAATTTATATATCCATGAAACACTGGAGTATAACAACAAGGCAATTAAAAAGCTCCAGTTCATGGGCAACAGTATGCAGAAAGAGCATTCATAGTGAATTACATGGTTTAAACTAGTATGTTAGCTTTTTAGCTGGCTGTTTGCTTCTCCTTTCCAACTCAGTTTAATTCAATCAGTGCAGCTCAACTATGTAGAATACATTTCAGATGTAAAGTCTCTAAAGTTTTACTTGAAATTATTCCACCTCAGAAATTCATAGTTACTTTTAGAGATGTACAAAGCATGTTAAGCTGACTGCATTAGAAACAGGTCCATGGATAATACTGCCCTGAAAGATTTCTTGTGCAGAGAGTGACTAAACCATCAGACCCAGAGATAGGAAGATTGTTCTGTTATACAGTGAAAATTGCACATGCTGAGCAGAGTTGTGTTTTCAACCATGAATATCTTAACAGTACTCTTGGCACAAGCAAAGTTGACATGAATGCTCTTAGCCTCTGACACAGAAAACACAGGATGTCATCAAACCATCTCTTCAACCTATTTACAATGGAAGTCTTTCACATGCAGACATACCACACACAAGTAAAAACAAAGCAGTATAAGTAACACAGTAACATCAAGAAGCAATGCTCATGTTCGTGAATCATTTCTATGGTAGAAAAAATGATCATTTGACCACTGATTTTGCCCCCAATACACATCCATACGCAAAGGATTTAAATCAAGGTGTCTATAAATTACAGATCGTTGAGCAATTAAAAAGCCAACACTAGGAAAAGGAGCAGTTTCCTTTCCTGCAAATTGTGTAAATCAAGGATTAATGCAATTATCAATATCGCACAGAACATCTCCTTGGAAACAGCTAAATATAGTACTCTTTGTGGAGCGCTGCACCATCTCACAGCTCTGCCAAGAAGCTGACAAACAATACAAAATCAGAGGTTCTCTCTTCTTGCTTTTATTGGTTTTGGAAAGTAATTCGCCTGACCACAGTCACCATCTTAGTAATAACAGATCACAGTGCTCTGAAAACTAGGTTCAGGGGAATGACATTCAGTTGTGACACACAAAATTACACAGTAAAATATCATCTGACCCTTTCGATACATGCCTAGATCACTAAATTTTTTCCTATCGCCTATTAAATATGTTTTCTAACACTCATTGCTCCTTGCATTTAAAAAAAAACCGCAAAACGTATGTCAGACAAAACACGCACCACTATTTAGAAATTGGCTTTCCTCCAGGGTGGACTGACAAACTGATACAAGTCCTTCCACAATGCACCAATGTATACAAGCCAGTTGGTGCTTTCTAAATACAAGCATACAAACAAATTTAAGCACTTAAGGCACAAGCTGCATTAAAAGCACAAATTCTTTGTATATATGCAGGATTCTGCTGTTCAGTAACTGCATTTGAAAGCTGTACCCAAACTTTCAAAGTGCCAGACAGAACAGCTCCAGCAAGGTCACTGCCACACGCACAGTTGTCCCTCCACAGAAAGAAATTTTTAAAACATCTTGAATGCATATAGAGTGAAAATTAGCACAACAGAAGTAATTTTCATACCAGTAAACAAAGCAGCCAGATTTCAGCACAGAACAGGTTTGGAGATGATGATCCTACTGGAAAACATGAAAGATCTACATTGACAACCCTCATTCAAGAAAAGAAATGCTTGAAACACTAGCCCTACTGACTTCACTGCTCATGACCTATTTAGAACTGGCCTTTAAGTGCCATCAACTGATTCACTGTTGCATAAGGTAGAGTTACAACTCTACAATAATGAAAGATTTTTTTGTGTGTAAAATGAGAACTACAGCATAGTCACAGTACTCCTGATGCAGAAACCCTAAAATCCAGGAATACTGAATGAAAAGCTTTACGTGTATTACCATTATTTTGTTTCATTTTATTAAAATTATTACAAAATATTACATGTTTACCCCAGTTAAGTATTAAATACTAATATAAAACGTGATTTGCAGCAAGAAGGCTTAAGGTGAATAAGCTTTATATTTAAAGAAGAAAAAAAAAAGAAAAGAGTAAAAGGAACAAAAAAATTCTTCAATTCTGGGATTCTTTCTCAGGTAGCCAAGGGGACTGTGACCTAGAGTCTCAACAGCACACAAGAAAGACCAAGGTGGCTGTATGGCCATGTTCGCTGGGAAAACATGGGCAGATGGAATCCCTGAGCAACTGAAGAGTTTAAGGACTGTCACACTGGGAAGCTGAGGATTCACACAACTCTCCTCCTCCGAAAGCCTGTTCCTTGGAATGTCCTCTTGCCTGCGAATCAAACTGCACAAACTTGAAGGATAGAGGACTATGAGTCACATAACTGTTACAGACATCCAAATGTCAGTGACAGTCTTACAGTCACTTCTGACTATTTGACCAGAAAAGGTGTTGTCTAAGCATGTTTCAGAAGCCAGCAGCATTGTTAAGAACACCGTATATGGTTTTGCAACTTAGCCAGCCCCCTGGAAAGCAGCAATGCAAGCAATGCAGTCCTGGTTCAAAACCAGTATTTCTGTTACAGCTTGACCAACATTTTCAAGATATCCCTGTATTATGGGTTTCAGGCTGTCCCTTAAGTTCCAAACTGTACAAGTTTTCACAGTATTTTTCAGAAAGGTAAACTCTATAGTCTATCTCATGCATCATTCTGGATTTGCATTTGAAGTATGACCCATAAGCAATACATAGTAGCAGACTATCCCTAAAAGCAAATTCCTCTGGCTTTTCCACAAAATGTAAAAGCATATGTATTAGCATGTCACATCTTAAATGCACTGCCCTCTAAAGCACACTATGTATTTGTGAAATAAATACATCTCTTATTCCTCCATATATACATTTCTTTAATAGAAAATCCTAACACAAAAGCAGTGGAAAAGTCAACTATTTTGGATGAATTTACATTTAACCTGAAAGGACTGCTGCAATGGATGCTGTTAGAATCTGTCTTCTATTCAAATTCAGGGTATTAAAAAAAAAAACCAAACCCAAACAAAAAAAAACAACCAAAAACTAAAGCGCTCTTGGAAGACATAACCTCTTCACTCAGTATGCTGCATTTCCAGCTTCGATGGACAATTGCAAATTGACTGGTCATCAGCTTACTGTGATCATATCAGCCCAGAGTGAAAAAATTGCAAGTGACTTGTCCTTGGGACAAATTTTGCACAATGTCATTTCAGTGTCCCGACCCACTCATTTTTCAGAAAAAGATTTAAGTAGCTGCAGGGCAGGCTACCCTTTCCTCAGCAAGGGAAGTAGGTCAGACTGAACTCCTAGAATGCTCTGCCTAAGGAAAAGATATCTTGACCCACTACGTTCCCTGAGGCTGCTCATATACGACATTGGGGTCAGGCACAACTTCCCCAACTTATACTCCATTATGATTTTCTGCTATTCAAAGTCAGCCAAATCTTAAGGTTTGTTTTTTGCAAATTTTATTAACACAAAGATGGCAAATTCCAAGTGGCAGGCATTAGTTTTTGATGTACAAAGGAAAAAAATCGGTTTTTAAAGTTCAGAAGAAATAACTACATTTAACTAGTAATATGATTCTTAAAGAATCTGATTTAGAAATGTTTACAGATTTGGATATTGAATTACAATTGTCCATATTCTGAAGAAATTAGGATCTTAACATAACCCTGCCTGGCAAGCAAGAGGTGCTGAAGATTAAGGCCTGATCTGAAGTAATGAGAAAAGACAGCTTGGCTTTCTGACAATTAAGTACAACGATTCGAAAGAAAGGCCACCAAATACAGTCCCTGGACCTCAGCTACTCTGCCAAAAAAGTCAGGGTTAAAAATAAAAGCATTGAAGCGTTATTCTACTATTAGAGAAGAAAGCAACCTACACATTTTCACTGTTTGTTTCGGAAGTAACCAATATAATAAAAGTGCTGGAAGTGAAATCTTTAAATATAGCTGGTGAGAGCCAAAGGACGAACACCCTCAGTTTGTAATGCTTCCAACTATGCTTCCTCTGGCTGTTCCTATGCATTTTATTTGATCAATTGATTTAACTTTGCTAGGGAACTGTTCTTGGCTCCAGTTTTGTCAAGAGCAGCAAATACATACTCTCTTCTCTGTAAGGCTATTTATACAGTGTGACAATGCACATCTGCATCTCATATACCCTTTTGTAAAGTCACCAAGTAGCAGTCAATTTAAAATTACTGGGGTTCAAAGGGTGCACATAAGCAAGGAATTTAAACAGATAACGAATATATTTTTCAGCTTCAAATACCAATTCTATTTCTAAGTCATCCATTAGTAGTCATCTGCTTCCCCCTGCAGTTTTGTGAAGCTATTGCTGTATCATGCATTCAATGATTTGAATTTCAATTTAAGGTTGTAGTTACTCAAAAAATCCTTTTTCAAATCTTGCTAGAGTTGCCACTTGAAAACTGTGCCAAAGCTGCCCTCTACACTGAAGAGGTAGAGTAATAAGCATTGCTAGACTCTGGCCAATCTCCGCTCATTGTAACTCCATGGTAAAGATGCATTAGTCTTTCTATTGCCAAATCACTACCTTTTCCTGAAATTGTAAGCAGCACTTCCAGAGACAATGGTCATATCCATCCTGGACAATCAGTTTAAGTTCATGTGCCAGACTAACTATGACTATTCCCAAGTGACAATACACGCCTGTTCCAGAGGCAACAGCCGCAGGCAGAAAAGTGGAGCTGACCACTTAATCCATAATCACCACAAGGTCTCAATTTGACAGTATCAGAACCTTTCAGAGAAATGCAAAAATGAATATAAGACTAAAATTACATAGCAGCACTGAAAGAAAGATGAAGGTATAT